GGTCCAACCAAAATGTGCCAAAGAATTCAGCAGGACTCAGTTCTTTTGTGTTTTGAAGGATGGCTCATCAGGAAAGATGGTACCAGGGAGTGCCCCAGATGGGGATGGGGAGATGACCAAAGAGTACAAAGATTAGGCCAGATTTTGAGGCCACCAGGCTGGCAGTTTAGACTCCATCTCAAAATGGAGATCGCAGACCAAATAAATCCTCTACAAGAAACTTTTCACCTGCCACTTTTCTGAGGCTTCTGTCTCTGGTTTCTTTGTGAGATTAAGATTGGCTCCTTTGCATATTCTCCATGCCTCCCGTTTCTTTGCCTGCCTTTCTGCCTGTTCCATTCAAGCAGTAGCTGGTGCTGATACTTGTGGCATATTTTGGACACCAGCTAAAGACCCTTTTCTTCACCTCTGCCTTCCCTGAGTGAGGAAGCTGTCCAGTTTCTTCGTTAGAGTGCTGTATGTTTTTATTAATGCTCGAGATGAATGTTTAGGTAATTATGAGATATTTTAACTGCATTTAATGCACGTTGCAATATGTTTTCATGTATTTAAGTACTCTTGGAAGCCAGGTAGAGATACAGTGTTGAAGAGGTCATAAATCTAGTGAATAACTGTATCTCCCTTACAGCCAGGGTTTGGGAGCCACGCATGAGGTAGCATTTGTCTTGTCAGGAAGCAGTGGCAGGAGAAGCCGGCCGGCCATGTGACCTGTCTCAGTAGGAGCAGGGCTGGGTTGTCATCACAGCTCCTTGGGTAGGTTTGTGTTTCTCCTGCTCAGAACAGTGCATATGCTGATTCATATGCATTCTAAAGTTCGCATTTATGTACATTTTGAATGACCTTGTCTCCTAAGAATACCCCTATTTATAACATAGAAGGAAGCAGAAAGAGTCAAGGATGGGGGGTAGGAGGACATGAAGGACATTGGGTCAAAATGCCAGCTAATCCAGAGGAATCGGATGCAACAGACACTCACGTTCCGGACCTCTGATTTCAGCAAGAGCCCATGGAGAGCAAGTGTTGGGACAGATGGCTTCCTAGAGATTTAGGGCTTCAGCTCTAGTGGTCCATTCCCTAACACCATATTTGATAAAGCTTCCTGGGTAACCTTACTGGGCCAGTCACTGAGTCTCTTAACTTGCATCACAAGGTTATTGTGAGGTCAAAATGGAGAGGAAAAGGAGAACCATGTAAGCTACCTTGTTTTCATTAAACTGTAGCAATTGGTGGGTGAAAAATGTAATTATAAATAATAAATTAAATAACGGGGCCCAGGCCCATGGCAATCTACCCAGGAAGAGCAGCTTTGCATACTACTTATAAGTAAATTTCAAGTAAGTTTGGGTAATAATTGCACACTTTAAGAGTGCAGCATGAAATCTTCCATTCTTGTTCTAAAGCAGCCTTTCCGAACCTGCTGCCCTCCAGAAATGAGGCTAAGGGTAGTGGAAGTGGTAGTCCGACGCTTCCAAAGGGGGAGCAGGTTTGGAAAGGCTGTTCCAAAAACCGCAGTCCTGTAGCACCTCTGACAGTACCGAGATCGGAATGCCTCGACCAGTGAGTCGGACTCAACATGCGACTCTACGGCCCGTCGCGTGCCGCAGCGCGCCCTCTCGTGGCCGTCGGGGAGCAGCGCAGCTCACAAGCCCAGGCCAAAGCGGACCGCGAGGAGAGGAGCCCCGCGAGCCGCGCTGGTTGCCACGGCGACCGAAACACACCGCCGCGAGGAGGGCGGGAGCGCGCGCCCTTCCGCGGCCGGAAAGAGCGGGCTGCGAGGCCCCTGGAGCGCGCAGCATGCAGGGGTCGCGGACAGGTGCGTAAAAGCAGGTAGCGCCCACGCACCTGCCGCCAGCAGCCTGCCGCATCGTGCGTTTCACAGTTGCAGGCACCTCGAGAAGGGTGCGCCCGAGCATGTCCAAAATGTTCTTCCTCTTAAGCGGAAGACAGTTTTGAACACATATATATTGAAAGGGATCATTTATCATTTTAAAAAATAATCCTAGCGTTTATATCCCGATTTCCGGCCATTACGAGGAACCAAAGGCGGAGTACATCTCTTCCCCTCTATTTTATCCTGAAGAATGTTAGGCTGAATGCTGGGAATGATTGGTGGCAAAAGGAAAAGGGGACGGCAGAGGTTGAGGTGGCTAGATGGGGTCACTGGGGTGGCGGGTGTGGACTTGGGTGGATCCTGGGCTTGGGTGGATCCGAGGGACAGGAGAGCCTGGAGGAATGTTGTCCATGGGGTCGTGATATCCGGCACGACTTTGCAACTAAACATCAACAAATGTTAGGCTGAGCGTCCGCAGCTGGCCTGAGGTCACCAGTGAGCTACATGGCCCTGGGGGACTAGAACCAGATTTTCCGAGTCCCAAGCCCAGCACTAGGCAGAATGTACTTTTCATTAGATGGGAAGCAAGGCACTGCAGGGATGTGTGGAAGGTGCTTTGCTTTTCTCTGAAGGGAATGATCTGTTTTCATCTTCAATAACCAAACAAAATGCAGCTACTTAGAGAATATAGGAAAATAACAGTGTGGTTATTGATGAATGGGAGGCAGGACATGTGTTGTGAAGTGGAGCGGGTGGTCATCTGCCTTTCTGCTGCTTTTCCTAGTGTTTGGGGAATGGTGGAAGGAGGTTGCTCCCTCCCCAATTATTTTGCCTATTTTCTTCCTGTCTTTCACCTTCTGAAAGTAATCAAAACAATGAAAAGAAGAGGTAGCTCTGACAGACTCTGGGCCTAATAAATGTAATCCATCCCTCACTCCTCCCCCACAAACAATACTGAGCAAGTTATGGCCACCATAGATAGGATGCTGTCGGTGTAATCCGTTTTTGGCGGGGCATGAATCCTTAACCCACCAGCTGAAGACCAGAAATTTTAAATAATAGTCACGCAGGGCTCAGTCCTATGCATGTTCAGACAGGAAAAAGTCCTACAATTCCCAGCATTGCCCAGCCTGCCAGGATGAAAGTGATCTTTATAATAACAGTTCTGTTGAGGTGAATGGCATATAACAAATAAAAAATACAGTGTTCTGTCAAATTCAAAATGGAGAGGCTCATAGAGGGAAGGAATGAAGACAGAGGGGCAGGTAGCAAGAGAAAATGTTCCTATGTATTTATATGTTATTATTAGTTCAGTTCCATGTATTTAGGCATTGTTTCAAGAGGAGGTGAAGGCCATTCTTAGGTGCTATTCCTGAGGAACCATTTCCTGTGGTCTAAAATGCAGAGGGAGCAGCTTAACGTCTGATTATTAGAATGTATTAGGGTATGCAAGTGTTAACTATGCCCTCTTCTCTGCAGCAGCAGCCCTACCCTCCAGCACACCTATACACATACACATACACACAACCAGTAAGGTGTATTGCAGGGGTGACCAGATTTGCTCTGCAGAAGAACTACATATGGTAAATGTCAGATATTTAAACACTGCAAGCAGGTTCCCACAGGCCAGTACCCATATTTTGTTAATGTGTTCTTTTTTTCCCTGGAGTATAGTCAGGTTTGAATCAGGGATTTGACACAATGGAAATGAAAGATTATGGAGCAAGGGTGAGGAATCTGCAACTTCCATCAGCCCCTACCAACACTGCTAATAGCCTGGGATGATGGGAGATGCTCTCCAACAATAGATGAACTGCTGCATGTTTCTCTGACCCCTGTTCTGGAATTGGTTCCAGGGCACGTAGAGCTTTTCTATATGAGGCATTCATTGTGTGCTCATGATTCCTTACTCACCATTGTTTATGGGGGTTTTTAAATGACTGTTGTGAACTTTCTGTTTTGCTTCTGCTTTTTAAAAACACTTTCTTGGAATTTTTAGAGCAAGTGAAATGCAATACTGTTTCTAAAGTGAAAGAACAGGGAAATATAGCAATTAAAAGCTTTGCTCAGAAAAATTAATTGTCATTTCACAGTAGAGTGCCAGTTAGGTGTATTAGCCTTGTTGTTGCTTTGTGTAAATTGAAAGTGCACCCCAGAAAACAACTTTTCCCTGCAGCTGCTCATTGTAGGGTAAATTTTACAGTGATGGGCAAGCTGCCTTTTAGAGACGCTTGTCTGCCATTATTATCTTGTAATCAGAGAATGACCCATAAGCCTCCTAGAAACCCTTGGATTCTCTAAAACACTACCCCCAATTATAACCTCAGAGAGTCCTTTACTGCTTTGAGTTTTCAACCTATGCAAGCAGCCCTTTTGGCAGGTCATTATTCTCACTTTCCGATAGAGCAGCATATATGCATTTGTGGTTCATCTGTAGTAGTGAATCGTCCCCATTATGTGATATTCTGTCCTCTATAAGGAACTCCCAAGAGGTAGATTCTTAGCAGGAATTTTATCAGTCGTTGATGCATACTTGGAAACTGAGAAGATCGTTTTTCTATTATCAGAGAATGATGCTTATGTATTTTATAGGGTGTCTCTGTTTACTTTGACAGCTGTGAAGATTAAATTGAAGGCAGTATTGAAGGGGGTAGTTAATTGATTGTGATAAATTAGTTTTTTTATTTTATTTCCATATTTATTTTATCAATTTTAACTTCTATTAATGAACTTTCCTAATATTCTATTACATCTTTGTAAATTTTGTAAAGGCCTAGGAGGCTAAATATAGAGGCTAAATATAATAAAATGACTTTTGACTATAAAATATAGTTTGAAAATGATTCATACTGCCTTTGACAACTTTCTTATTTCTGGAAATAGTTATTGGAACTGAACAAGTGTTTAATCTTGAAATACAGAACTGATCCTGAAATTGCATACCACTATTTTATGCTGGTATCTCACTGTTTAGAGGAAATATTTTGTGATACAAGCAAGTTAAACTAGACAAGCAAACATTTAATGTCCATATGAATCAAGCTTTAGATGGAGAAATCCTTTTTTAGTTAAACATTAACATAGAGAGTAATTTTTGTTTGATTGCAAGTAATTTGCAGTTTGGCACAAGGCTATTAAAACCCACCTGCTCTTTTTGCTTCTCTTGCAGCTACCTCCCATGGTTTTTATTCAAGTGAAAGGTAAGAGAAAACTTCTAGCCCTCTTTCTAGGAAGTTGCATGAATAATGGATCAAATTCTGGAACCCTTGTTTTTCCTTGGGATGGCCAGTGGGCATTTCATTGCATCAGCATTTCTAATTTGTTGAGTGCTTACACTTGTTTGCAAGCAGCTTTAATTCTAAAGTGAGAATGGTGCAATTGTGAGAAGGGCCAGAAGTAATGGTGCCACCCTTAAATCCCACATATTAGTAACAGTAGATAACATATGTTAGTAATGTTCTTACATTTTTTACTACTTTAATAAAATATCCGGTGTCTATCAATATTAATATTATTCCAATAGATCTGCCACATTAGTCCATTATAGCAAGATTGGCAAAGGAGCTGGGTTTAATTCAAATGATTCCTTGGTAGCATGCTGAGGCCACCTTGTTCCAGTGAAACTGTTCCACATAAAAAACACAAACTGCTTTGCCAGATAAAGGCCCATCTAGTTCAGTATTCTGTTTCCAAGAATTACTACCCAGATGCCTCTGGGAAACTCACAGCTGTTTGTAGGCTGTCCCTTTCTAAAGATTGTTTAAATTATTGGGAAGAAGTCACTGTCCAAAGACTTACCTCCTGCATTTGGCACAGAGCAACCATATGATGCATTTTCACCCAGTAGTTGCCACTGGGCTATGAATATCGATATAACTACCTGGGAAGCTCACAGTGAGCACATGAATTTGAGCATCTGGTATCGATGGCTTATGAATGCAAAAGTTCTAACAGGCTATTGTAACTGAATATTTTTAAAAGCAAAATAAGCTGTTGGTTGGTACTATACCTTGTGACAATAAATTAGTGCTGTAAAAGAAGTTGTGTCAAGACATACAGATGTTTGCCCTGCCTGTCAAGAAAGCATCATTAGAAATGTAACTTGAAAGGGAGGCTCTTGGGTTGCAAAGCATGTTCTATTCCTGAACATGTCCTGGCTTGAAGAGAAGGCCGACAGCCCCAGGTGCATAGGTGCTTCTCGATGAAACCTTTGCCTCTGAGCAAGTTTTGTACATGATGGAATGAATTTGGAGCTTAACTGTAATTAGCTATGCCCATTATCTGGGATTTTGCGTCAAGTGAACATATAATCTGTCATCCTCTTGTCAGTTTCCTCATAGTGCTCCCAGGGAGGAACAGGAGGTACAGAATAGTTAGACACATGCAGAAAGGCCTTTTAGCCCTTTCTGAAGAAAACTTGACTTTGAAGTTTGAAGTTAATGTCAAACGTGTATTTTGCCACCATGTATATTCAACTGTCAGTCCCAATTCCCTAGCAAGTACTATTTATTTAATTAATTATTTGATTAAAAGCTTTTCTATCCTGTCCCCTATAGAACGTTTCAGGATGGCTTAATTTGTATGATAGTCATGGTTGCAAACATATAGTTTGTTCCATTTGCATGCTTAGATGTACATTTAAAACAGTTTAGGACAGTCTTTCCCAATATAGTATCCTCTACATGTGTTGGGCAAAAACTCCCAGCATTTTCAGCTAGCATGGCCAATTGGGAAGGCTGTCTTAGATGTTCATGTAACACTTTAATGTTTGAAGTAGCCCTGTGAAACCAGCAGTATTTCTCAACCTGTAGCATTTCCAGGGCCCTTTTTCATTTTATTCAAATGATTTAAACTGGAGATATAGTCATTGCCTGGATATACCTGCTAATGAATGTGATAACATGTTGAGAATCTGTGAACTGCATCAGCAGAAGATTCAGTGGTTTAACTTCATAAGACTATGTGCTGATTTCATTACATGAGATATCTTTGTAGCAAATTCCTGTGTGTGTCCAGTGTTTCCTCCCCAAATTCTAATGTTTCTTACGTATTTTGAACTTAAGGGACTTTTTTAGAATATGTCTTTGGAACCTTTGAACAAATTTGCTTGTGTCCTGCTAACTTGAGATATTTTCCTCTCGTGATAGATCAAGTGTGCTGAACCTTTTTTCAGTTCAAGGGCTGGATTCCAATTTGGGAAAGGTCTTGAGGGCCACAGTTCTTCCATGAGTGATTTCAGTGAAGGCAAAGTAATTGTGGCATTAGGCAGAGTGGGCAAGACCAAATGAGACCCTTATATATTTTAAGCCTACACAGAAGTAAGCAGTACTAAATCAACAGCACAGTTTTCAGATATCATCCTAAACACCAGGACCTTGCAAATTTACTTAGAAATAAGCATGAACTGCATGTCACAAGTGAACAGAGCAAGTTTCAGATGAAGCAGGACTGCATCAGTCAACAACTTCCTCCCCGGGTCCTGCCTCCTCCCAAGCAGGGAATAGCTCTTATCTTTGATTAGCAATTAATAGGAGATAAGTGCTTTTTCCATGTTGAGAGTAGGAGCAGGGCCTGAGGAGGCCATTGGTGGACAGAGAACTTGCATCTGCTATTTCTGACCAGTGAGCTGGAAGTCCCACATGTCTTCCATAGAATATGAAGTGAATGTTGTGGTCATTCTTTTCTCCTTCCAAGCAGACCAGGACATAAATTTCCTAACTAGAAGCCTTTATGGTGTTAAAGCTGACCAGCTAGACTGACTTTGTGATATAAAATAAGAGTATTGCAGAAGTAAATAACAGCAGAAACAAAGAAAGTTAGGATACTGGCCATTGGGAAACATGGCTTAATGATGGAAACAGCCAGTGTGGTGTAGAGGTTAAGAGTGTGGAAACGGTACTCAGGTGAACTGGGTTCTAGTTACTGCTCAGCCATAGAGCCAGCTGGGTCACTTTGGGCCAGGCACAGACTCCCAGCCCAGGGTTATTGTTGTGACGATAAAATTGAGAACTGCAGGAGGAGAATGATGTGAGCTGCTGTGAGTTCATTGGGAAAAAGTGGGGTATCAGTCAATCAAATAAATGAACAATAAAAGGCTTTTTCCAAGCTGAATACCTTTCCTCCCTTTCAAATTGAAAAGAGCAAACCACTCCTTTATGCCTGTGGGCCAGTTACTAGAAGTGCTCCTCAACTGGTCCGCAAGCCAAACTTGATACCACATCCTCAGATTACTTATTAATTGATTATGTTTGTTTTTAATAAATATTTATTTATTTATGTTGATTAATAATGCTGGTTTTCTCCCTCGCTGTATCGGTTTGCTTACTAAATTTTCCCACAGAATTTGAAACTGTATGATTTTCAGTGACTGCCTAGCTTATCTCAGCATCAAATGGCCTTGGAATTTCAGCTGTGGAATCTGCTCCCTCTTAGTCTGAATCAGATTCTGTATCCACAGTCTTTGAAAGAGGAGTGTGTTCAGTCCCTGTAGCGACCATAGAAGAGGGACCATAGAAGATATGACACCCTGTGATCATATACAGGAATTATATTTAGCAAAGGTGTTTTGGAGACACTCCCTGTCTCTTTTGTTTTCTCTCTCATTATACGATAGATCACCATACATGGTGATTCCACTGTATACATAAATCATAATAATTTTCTCCCCTCAATGAGAAAGTAGCACAGAAGAAAGCAAAACTCACAGGGAGTTCAGGATTCTTTTTGGAATGTAGTAATTGAATGGGCTCTTAGCTTTCTACTCTGTTGGAAACATTTATTATAGACTATCTGGTGTTCGGGCTCCAAGCATTAGCACTGGCATAGCAGTTTGCTGTCACTGGAAAGACTACATGCATGCTATACACTTTCTAGAGCGACAATTTTTTTCTGTTAGCATATGCTAGAGCACAGGAACTCCAGTCTTTATACAACAATTTTACTCATCTATATGTTTATATTTACCTTACAAATGTAAACATTTTGAACTTTGCAGGTTACAAAAGCTTGCAAAACCAAAGGAGACAAAAGATGTGTGGAATTTTACTCGGTAAGTTTGTGCTGCTTAATAAATTTTATAAGTAATAATAAGAATACTCAGCATTTATTTATTTATTTATTTATTTAGAACATTTCTATGCTGCCCCATTCGCCGAAGCCTTGGGGCGGCTCACAAAACATTAAAATATAATACATTAAAAATATAAAACAAATTACAATATAAATTCAGTGCTTAAAAGCAGTTCATGTACTTTATCTCGGTTGTCTCATCATCAGTCTTACAATAGTCCTGTACTGTAGGCTAAGATTATCTCCATATTGCATACCAGCGGAGGCTGAGAGAGCATAGTGCAGATGCAAGGTTTGCACTGGGGACTTTGCAGCTCAACTTATAACCATTTTATCTACACCATCCTTCTCTAACATATTACCTTCCAGAAGTTTTGGGGTATAACTCTGAACTTGCTGAAGGATGCTGGGAATTGTAGTCCAACAAATCTGGATGCTAGGGAAGGCTTCTGTACACCAACACTTACTTCAATGGTATCATTGTTTTCATTGTATTAGAACATATTAATGCTATTTATATCCCAATTTCTTCCTTCCCTAGCTTCCTGTCATTCTCCCATTCAGGCACTTACCAGGGTGTTGGTAAGGATGCTGCCTCATATAGTTCAGACCATCATAGCCTGTGCTGAAGTTAACCGTTAGTGTCAAGCAAAAATGAAGTTAGATCACAGATTATTTGAGAACACACTCAGATTTACAGTTCTCACTATGAAACAGAGTCAGCTGTTGAGAAATTCTGTTAGAAGGTAAAACCAAGGAAAATATATACCAGGAATATACTGGAAAACCTAGTTGAACACAAATGGTTGAAATAAAGCAGCAAAATGGAAGTTGTAAAAACAAAATACCAATAAAAACCATGGTAGGTCTATTGAGGAAGGTTGGGTAAAATGAATATTTCTTCAGCAATTGCTGAAAACAACACAATGTTGGTACCTTCCTGACCTCCAGAGGCAGAGAAGGGACCACTGTGCCTGAAGGATGTACTCCAGAAGGGCCCTAGCTGGGCTATAGATCCATGTGGATCCAGCACAGGAGCCTTGCACTTGATGAACTCAGTGACTGGGCAAGCTGATAAGGGGAAAGGTGCTCTCCCATGTGATATACTTGGGCTACCTTTGTAAAGTGTTCAGAAACTCCAGCTGACAAGAGTCCCAGCTAATTCTTGATTGGTTTTCGATAATGTGACTCTTGCAGCTCTAGCTGGGTTCAGACAGCACTTTAAGCCACACTCAAGAACTGTTGGCACTGACACATGGATTTTTGTTGAAATGTGGGTTATCATATCTGAACCTAGCTGAGATAACAGAGCATAGTGAACAACCTACAGTTTGCAATCCAACAACAAACCATGAGTTCTATTCATAAGTTGTTCATAGTTAACAAGTCCTGGCTTATTAGTGCAGCTGGGTACAGACAACACACAATGCATGTTTCAAAAACAAGGCATATTTCAACCATAACTCTCACTCAGCCCTTGAATATGGGTTTTCAGTTTGTTTGAACCTAAGCATTAGGTGGGTTCAGACACTTCAACACATACTGTAGCATAAACCACGTAGTGTGTGTTAAATATCCAAAGCCCCCCCAGTGTGCCTGATAGATGATCAGGTACTCTATGTGTATATGTCTCCTTCTCCTCCCTTGGTCCTCCCATGAGTATCTTAGGGGACTCTGAAGAAGTACCAGAGTTTTCCTCTGTCCCCATCACAGTTGTGTGCTGCTGACAGCTACACGCAAAGTACATAAAACAGCATCTGGGACCTCTGTGCCAAGGTGGGTGAAGCCGGCAAGCAGGCTGGCTTCAGTGAGCTTGGTGGTGGCTACATCTCCTGGAGCTTGGCATGGCAGTTCAGGGCAGGGCAGAGAGTGGTGGAACCGGCTTGGGAGCAAGCTTCACCAATCTCGGCAATGGCTGCTCAGTCTTCACTACATCCTGCCATAATAGACCTGACTGTAGCAGCAATCAGCCATCCCTACCACTGACTTATGAGTCAGCAGCAGTAGCAAACCTGAAAGAGACTTGCTATTGTGGCAGGCTACAAGAGACCACCAACTATGATGCCGACCCACGAGTTGGCCACAGTGATCATTGCTAACTGCCCCTTTCTGAGGCTTAGCCTGGCAACAGAGAAACCTCTGATAGCTGCTCACAAGTGCAGTATGGCTTGACCCACAATGAGTTATGTTGCCTGGGCTGTGAGGACATCACAGCCCACCCTGGGTCAAACAGACCCTACTGTGGTTTGCTAGGGTGGCCTGTAAGCCCAAACTAAGCTTCCATGACAATCCTATTGTGGCTGTGTGAACCCTGCAATTTGCTTCTAAGACTGTTTTCAACCCCAATTCAAAGTGCTGCCTGTCACCTTTCAAGATTAATATGGCCATTGGCTGCGCTGCACTACCTGGGCTTTATAAGAGCTATTCTCTGGAAAGTTTGTATAAATAGCATGATCTCTTAATGTGATAACATCCTCTGGTGTATGTGAGGTTCTAAACATGTTTGGTTGGTACTTGTGTTTTTATTCACAACAGTAAGTTAGTATGGGGAAACCAAGAGACAATATGGCCCCTCTCATGTGCTTCGATGAGTCAGCCAAGTGCAAGAATCCTGGCTTTGGCAAAACCCAAGACAAAATGTGACCTCCAGCATAGGTTTGTCTTTTTGACTCTCATTTAAAATCACACAGGAACTGGCTGAAAGATGTTTGGGTCTGAAGGGGTGTGCAACTGGTTTCATGTGACCAAGCAGCTTTGGAATCATGTTTCCTGATCTGTAGCTCCTTGTGTTATGAGGAATCTTCCTTTGAAAGTAGCAGAACTTCTGAAGATCAGCTTTTGGTAAAGCATGGGAGTCTCTGTGAAGAAGAAAGGTTGCCTCCCAATGCAACAGGAGAAAAGGCACCAGCAATTTTCCCTCACTAGCTATTCCCTGGGTCTTCTGCAGAGAACTCCTGCATGATTTTCCAGGAGAGAGATGCTCAAGTGTGAAGAAGCAGCTTGCTCTCTGCTTGCAGATCAGCCATCCTGCTTCCTAGATCAGATGAGCTGCTTCCCATTTGGATGGTCACCATGCTTCCTTCCCCTGGGACATGAGAGATCTTCCTCCCCAGATACTGGTGTTCCAGCAGGGCAGTCCAACTTTTCATACTTCGAGGGCTGCATGAGGACTCCAACAGGAAACCTGGGGGGTGCACAATTAATTACGCTTTCCATATTGCAAATTAAAGTGTTTGCAATATATTTAACATGCACAATTAATATATTTAATTAAACATTAATGGGGGAGAAAACCAATGTGAGGTTTCAGAGTAACTTTTCTCTGTGAGTTCGAAGAAACAAACTGCCTATGTGCTGGAAAAGGTGGAGGAAGAAAAGAGGAAGAAAATTGGTACAACTGCAGTCCCAGAGTTGGTCCTCTTCCACAAGTTCAGGTTACCTCAAGAGATCACAGGCAGCTCCTTCTCTGGCACAGCCCAAGCCCAATGACCACTCCTCTGGGGTGCCCCATCCCTTTCTTCCTTGCATCTCCTGCTCAGAAACCCTCTCATGAGACCTCCCAGCCCTGCCTTCCTTCTTGGAATTGGAGTGGCATGGAGCATGCTGGGGCAACCTCTCCCAAGGCTGCCAGCCTGACTTGCTGTCTTCCTGAGTCTCAGGAAGACAGCAAGACATGTTGGCGCTCTCCTAAATCATGCCCATGCCATTGCTGGGATTTGGACTGAGGGGTGGAATGGGGGAGCGGACTCCAAGTGGCAAGACAGCTGAAGAAGATCATGGGAGTCTGCATGTTGGACTACCATGCTCTAGAGGGCAATTGTAGGTTGTGTAGTGATCAAAGCAGCATGTAGATTAGAGATCAACCAAAGCACTTTTAAGTCTCGCTGATTTTATTGACTTTCATTTTAATTCTTCCATTCAAGCAAGTTGCACTTAAAAGTGCTTACATTTGGTTGGTTACAACATATTTATTGTTGTAAGCCGCCCCGAGGCTTCGGCGAATGGGGCGGCATAAAAATGTTTTAATAAATAAATAAAAAATAAATCATGCCCCAAGTTTGCTTTGAATACTACTGTTAGAAGGGAGCAGTAGGAAAATTTTGAGCATGTGTCCATTGATTTTGTAAAAAAAGAAAGTAAAGCATGAACTTTTTACCACTTTCCCAGTGGAATCAAGGCAACCTAAATATGCGTAGTTGGCTAGATGAGATCCACTGTTTTATCTTGCTAGTGCATTAATTTTTGTTCTGGAAGACAGAGATGTTCACCATTCTTGGTAGCTGCTGCTGTTCAGTATTAAATTTGGCCATCAACGATAACTGAGACTGCCAGTTTCACATTCCTTTTGTGCTCTGATTAGTGCATACCTCTCTGAGGACGTCTGCACAGTGCAACTGTAAATCTGTTTAATTGGTAATTTCCTCTTTCCCAAAGTCCCAGCAGCTTCACTAAATGAAAATTCCTGGGGCACTCTGAGGAAAAACTTGACAGTTAGTAGTACAAACCCATGATTATAAGTTTGTAATGTAGATGTGTCCTAAATAGATAGAATGGTTGTCATTGCTTACCTCCAAATGTTAGTTTCCCATTAATTACTGCAGTGGTCTTGACCCCCAGATGTTACAAAAGTATCTTTAGGTGAAGTGAAGGAAGTTCAGTGTTTATCATCAATGCTTCTTGATCAGCAACTTGCCAGAAATATGAGAATAGTGAAAAGGGTGTAGCGTAAGTCTTGATTGTCAAGAGATCTGACTCATGAATTGAGCAGCTGTTTGTGCTGGAACAGAACGATCTGAATCTCAGACCTGACTTTCATCCCTTTGGAGTGCCAGTTCATAGATCATGGCAGAACAATTCCTGGAATAATTTTAGCACAGCTCTATACTGTGTGAATTCTTTATTTTGTATTTTCCCCACAGAAGATTTCTTCTTCTATTTGTGACTGGGGACAGAATTACCTAATAAGTGTGTGTGTGGTACAAGTACTACATCCAAGGCAATGTTTTCTGCCACGATTCCTAAAAGTACAGAAAAAGGGCAGCCCTTGGTAATAGTTATAGAATTCAGCAGCTTTATAATCTCAAATCTTAGAAGCCAACAGCATGGTGGAATAAAGGACAAACTAGACATCCTGGCTACACAAGTCAGGGTTCTGCAAAATTTAGGATAGGTAGGAACTGAAGGTGCTGCTTTAAAATGTAGCATGAGCAGGTGGGAAAAAGAGCCCTCTCCATGCTTACTCCTGCAAGCTGCTTTTTTCTGTTTTTTTCCAGTAGTAGTGAGAGAGCTGATCTATGCAAAGCATTTTTACCAACATTGTAAGGCTTGGCTTACTAGCAGGTCACATGACACACACTCCAATCTATTTTTCTTATGTTATTCTTCCTTCAATATTCCAACCATTTTTCCCCAAACAAAATTATGGTGATGTGTCTGGTGCTTGCATGTTCCATGCGCTGCAAAGTTATGTGTGTTCCAACTGAGCAGTGTTACAACTTGCCAGTGGGATCTTTAAAGTTCTCCCAAAGCCCCACTTCAGTCTTTCTTTTCTTTTTCTCATCCTGATTTTAATGGGATTTGTGGGCGGGAAAACAGTATCACCCAACTCCTTCTTTCTCACATGCTCTTGCATGGTGCGGCCTAGCAAAGTGGGCCCACACTGTTGCTGCCACTGAGAAAAGAACAGGGAATGAAAGCGGGAGGAGAGAGAGATGGGGTAGAGCATGGGAGCAGCAAGCAGCCATTTTGCTGGGTGCCACCATGCAGGAGGGAAGGAGGGACAGTCTCCTCCATTGTGTGAGGTTTTTGCTGCCCCTTTTGACTGCACGAATGGCAGAGTGGAGTCTGAATTGTTTGCAACCTCTGTCGCTGTGCTTCATCCATGGTGTGCATTTTGTCAGCTGAGTACAGAGACGAAACCAGAAGCGGCAACTCAGTTTTCTCTTTTCTAATACAGTCCATGCTCTGTAAACCAAAGGTGGCACAAACGTGCATTATACAGTGACACAACTTGGCCCTTGGCCCACTTGGCCTTTCAATTGCTTCCTATTTCTCCTACAGTTTAGAACACTGGAGTTTTGTGTGGCACTCAATTGCATTATAAACATGATGGCTACTTTGTTCATAAGTGTTTAGCTCTGTGGAAATTATTGCATTTTGAAGAAATATTAGTACAGCTCTTACTCACACATAAAGGGTCTCTAGTGCAGGTCTCCTCTTGGAGTGGCACCAGGAGAAGTAATTGGGGTAAAGCACATGGGATATGGGGATGCAGCAAGAGAGAGGGGTCAGCCTCCTCCACCAGCCCACCCCTGCTGCATTGCATAATCCCCATGCATTACTTATTTATTTAGCCAGCACTGTTAGCACATAGCCTTGTTATAATGTCAGCAACAATCTGAACTTAGACAATACTGCTACTGTAATGTCTAAGTTTGGATCTTTTTGCTGGTGCTAGCGGGGTGTTGTGACTTTTACAGTGCTCTGTCTAAGACTAGCAAAATAAGAACAAATGGCATAAATAAAAGAAATAATAAATTCTCCATTGACCCCAAAATCCACTCACACAGAAAATTAGCTGTTAGTGGAAAAGGATCTAAGGCTTCCCTCTGTCATGCTCCAAGATTTTGTTTACACAGAACTATGTTTGTTTGGATTTAAAAGACAAGTTTCTCTTTGGCTCTCTCTATACATGCACAACGTTTTTGAAAGTAAAGCATAGTATTTATTGGCAAAATGTTTGGCAGAAGTATAGATATTCAAACTGTAAGAACAGGACATACTGCAAAACATAAGTAACTGTAGACGGACATAAATCAGGAGTACAAATTCATCCACTTTGTGAGTACGAATACCTTGTGATTCCTCCTTTCCTTGTGAAGGTCCCTCTTTGTGTACAGCTGTGGTCGGGTTTCTGAGATCTGGCGTCGCCCTTCGGGACTGCAGTCTATAATCCCATCCAAACGAATATTGCAGCTAGCAGAACCTAAGCCATACTCAGCAGCTTACCTGAAACAAAGGTGAGACCTTCAAACTACTAGCTGTCTTACTTCTGTGTTCCAGCTGGGTTTTCAATACAGAATTCATAAAAGATATGCCCTTCAGAGAGGCCTCATGTTCTAACATAGGTTCAATTTATAGATAGGTAGAAGAGCTGGCTTCAGCACTGTGTGGTTCCACAGTTTATAAAGGCACTGTGTGGGAGATGCCACTGATGTGGCTCCCTTGCATGCAAACTGCAGACTCCTTCAGCTGGGCAGCGCTTGCAAGGGGGAAATAAATCCATAACTGGTATTTCCCTCATGGCAGTTGCTCCAGTCTAGTGGCCCCCATGCCACTGCCTGTATGTGAAGGGTCCTGGAAAGAGGTGGGACCATTTCTGAAGAACTTCTCTCCTGCTGAAAAGGAAAGATTGACTGTCAGAGTATTGGTAGTGCAAGTAGGAAGTGATCAGTTGACTCCACAGGGAGCATTATCAAGAAAGATTGCGTTTCTTAGACTGTGCTTGCTACCAAAATGAAGAATCCCTGACAGGAGCTTTGCAAGGCTATTAAGAGGATTTAAGGCTAGATGGAGCCTGTGTGAGAGGGAGGAGAAAGCTCCTAAGTGCTATGTGAAGTATTAGCACAATAACATGTGTAGCAAAGGAGGAACCAAACTGCGAAGGTGATGTCTTGTTAGGGTTGTGTTTTGATTATAAAGCAGAAAAGCAGACAGAATGAGCAGGGGTAAAGGGCGGATAGGCCTCCTGGATCTTAACAGTTGTACAGGAGTGAGAATTCCAACAGGTTCAACTTTTACTCTTTCCTGAGAGAAAAACTCAAAAGAACGCAAGAAGAGGCTGGCTGGATCAGAGCAGGGACCCATTTCATCCAGCACTCTGTTTATTCAGTGGCCAACCTGATGGGAAATCCACACGCCAGACGTGAGTGATAGCACCCTCCACCCATGTCCTCCCACAGCTGATGTATATAGGCATACTCCCTTTCTGTTGGAGGTAGCATAGAACCAACAGGAGGACTAGTAGCCATTGATAGCCTTCTCTGCCATGAGTTCATACAGTCCCTTTTTGAAGCCCTCCAAATTGGATGTTTTCATCTACGAGTTGCATCTATAAGTTAACTATGTGCCGTGTGAAGATGTGATTTCTGCCTTAATGTAAGTATCAACAGGGGAGAAACTAGATTCTTCCTCTCTCCTTTCATCCAGTGGCCACAAAGAAAACAGGAACATGGGTTTTACAATAATGATAGAGCCTGAGAAGGTAGAAGACTACAGCTGTAGTTCATCTTGCTGAACTCGCTCTTCTTCAGTTTGTAACTGCACTGTCCCACAGCTGCAGGCAAAATCAGATATGAGAAAAGTAAAACAGAAGTAGCAGGAGGAATAAAAAGAGCTGATGTCATGAGAAAAATGAACAAGAGACAAGGTCTAAGAAGATGGAACTATGAAAAGCTCAAAATGGAAATCAAGAGTCACAATACATTCTCTCCCTCTCCTGGATATACACACATATACATACACACATTGCAGGACCAGAGACTGCTGGAGGGACTCTAATGTTACTTTTGTGAGCCGTCCCGAGGCTATGTAGCAAGGGGACGGCATATAAAAACTTTAACTAAATAAATAATAAATAATGGACTCTGCACTTAGACACGTATCACCCCCTCCATGGAAGGTGGAGTTGGAATGGAAGGCCTATTGTTGGAAAGGGAGCACATGGACGAGTCTTGCCTCCACATTAACTTTATGTGGAAACTATATGTGATGTTCAATGCATCACTTGGACATGTGATTCTTAAAAAAAAAAAAAAAAAGTTGCTCCCCACCCCCCAGATCGGGATTGGGAGCCCAAAGAAGAGGCGCATTAGTCCTGTTGCTTCCTTGTCACAGTCCTGATGGAAATGTCCTTAGCATTGTCAAGCTGCCGTTTGGCACTGGAGGGAACCCCCTTGGGCACCAGTGGACATTTTCCTTCAAGGACTAATGACAGCTTCCTGGAGGAAGGCTTTTTGGCCAGGATCGTTGGGTGAGGAGTGGGCTTTCCTGGTTCCCTCCTTTTCAACTGCTGCTGTTTGTAGTTTTGAAAGAATTCACACAGCTCCCAAGTGATGCATTTAATGGCATGTGTAGTTTGGCTCTTTGCCTAGGCTGAAATGGTATTTGTGACAGGATTTTGAAGCCTTAGCTGCAGGAAGTTGTATAGAACCCTCGTGTTAAGCAAAAACCCATCTGAGTTTATGTCATGGGTGACATTTTCATATTTAGCACTATATGGACAAACCTGTGAGCTTAAGCAAAGTCTTCAGCTCATGCCAAGCTTTTCTACACAAGGCATTTATTGTGTGCTCATGATTACTTATGGTTGTTAGTGAGTTTTTTAGACCAGTGGTTTTCAATCTTTTTATAGTTGGGGACCAGCAAAAATAGGAAAATTATTTTGGGGACCACCGAGGCAGAAATAAAAAGCATGATATACATAATATAGTATTTTGTATATTAGTTTTTAAATTTAGTACCAAAAATGAAAATTCTGTAAAATAATCAAAAACTGAGCAGTAAAAATGCTAATAAAAGAATAAAATATTGAAATTAAATGTAATTGAATAAAATTGAATTTTTTAGAGAGCAATATGTAATTCAGATAAGGCTACTGCAAAATCTGCTGTTGCTTCTTTCAAGAATACGTGATCAAAAATTTACAATAGCAGAATACAAAATCAATATAAATGCAATACTATGCCCATAGTAAATATAAATTCAAATACAATATTAACAGCAGAGCAATACAACATCCAACAAAGTTACTTAATACAATAATTTGCATAATGCTAAATAATAAAATACAACAAACCCTACCTACCCAAATCCCCATGCACACCAGACTGGCTGAAAAAACACTCTCAGCACAATCCTGCCTCAGGATTTCTCTTCCCAGTAGAAAACACAGCAGAAAAAGGAAAAAGCTGGGTCCCAGCTAGCTCCTGATGAGCTGCCTCTCCCGTCCCTGGCCTCCTTGACCAAGGAAGAGGTGGGGAATCAGCAGCAAGAGCACAGCTAGCCCTGCACTGGTCCTGGTGAGTGAGATGCTGCTGTCTTGTGTGTGCACAACAGCAGCTCTTTCACAGACCAGCGGTTGAAAACCACTGCTTTAGACGATGTCATGATTCTGCAGTTTCCCTTCTGTATTTGTGGAGCACTTTTCTGGGGGTGCCTTAGAGCAGGGGAAATGGCCTATTATTTCTGAAATTGAAAGAAAAAATATTTTCCACTTTGTTTAATTGTGATATTCCACTACATCATGGTGCCACCTAGAGGTTATATAGTAGAAAACTAAGAGAGAGGAAGCATTTTCTTGTAGAGCTCAGATATCAATTTTGTGATGAAACCAAAAGTAGATACAACAAGTAACAGCCTTGTGTAGAAGAACGTGTGCCCTTTCTCCATGCTTTGTCTCCCATGTGTCTGGAAAGAAGACTTGATCAGGATTCAGTTTTTATGATTCTTGGTTTGTTACACGCAAACCAAAAGGTATGGTTTAAAACAAACTTTAGTCATTTGCCAAATGAGCCACCTTTAAACTATGAATTGTTTAGTTAACTTATTAAAGAAAAGCAAGTTTGTTTTAAACCATGAATCATGCTTTATATCTAACAAGAAAAGAAAGAAATGAAACTGAATCCTGCCTCAGTCTTCTTCCTAACTTCGTGGAAGATGGGGGAGGAAGGAACATGTACATGTCCAGTATTGTATTTAGGCTCCCAGAAACTCATCCATGTTAACACCTGGTTTTTGGTGTTAAATGCAAGCCAGGTTAGTCAGAGAGACTGGTATGATTATAACAAGAAAACCACTGCCCTGTTCTTTTGTTTCTTGACTTTCAACACATCTCATTCTATCTTATGTCGCTCATTTTCTTGAACAAAAGGGCATATTTGGACTCAGTCTTCTTCAGGGCCAGTTTCCTTGGCTGGAGCATGTTAGGAGAATTGCAGATGATGACGACAACGACGACAACAACAACAACTACTATTATTATTTGCAGTATCTCAAACATGCAAGCTGAGAAGGAGGGAGCAGATAAGCCGTAGGAAGAGTGACTGATCAAAAGCATCCACTAGCCATTAACTATCAAACTGTATAAAAGCCGAATTATGGCTACCTCTTTTCTTTACTTAACAGCATTTTCACAGCACCCCTTTTCATTTTGTCTGCTTGCTTTTTCACAGAAACTGCAGGATGCCATCATTTTTGGTTTTTATTTCTCCACATAAATGCTTTACCATTCACCAAATACAAACCTTTGGACTCCTAACATGCTTGGATCACTTTTCAGTGTTCAGCTGGCAGCTGATTCAGACAGTTGTCTGAACCTCCTTTTCTACCAGCTGCAAAATGCAAGGGTGAGGTGTGAGAAAGGAAGTAGATTAGCAGAAGCAAGGGAAATACTGGAAAAATCATAGAAGGAAGCTAAAAATAACGAGAGTTCTTTCTGGTCCCTGTGCATTACACATATGGGTTTGTGCTTGTGTGGGGCTGTTACCAGGAAGATTTACTAGCTAAGAGCATTTTGCCAGGAACCCCTCCCTGCCCCCAGTGTATGTTCTAATAGGGAGGAGTTTCCACCCTTTCCCTCAGTTCTTTGTCTCTCCCAATGGCATTGAAGGCTCCTTTCTGAAAATGTGCTGTGGCTCTAAGTTGCCACCTACTGTCGGGCTCTCCTTGATGAAGGCCATGTGGCAGACCAGTGCCCTCACTGCCAGGCATTTACAAAGCAAGCAAGGGAGCATCATGCTGACTGCCTTCAGACAGAGCTAGGAAACACGGCTTTAAAAGGGGTTGATGCTTCAAATCTGCTGAAGATTCCTTTCCCGTCCACTTCTGGCTCCATGTCATCACAGTGGTCCATGCCGCCTGCAGCTGCCACCTCAGCTGTGGGACAGTCGCTGCCTCCAACTCTGGGAAAGTTGGTGAAGTTGAAGAAAGTGAAGAAATTGTCCAAGAGGGCCAAGGAGGCTAACTTGGCTGGCTTTTTGAAGGAGACCTCAACAGCCAACTTCTTCACTGGAATGACTTCACAGACCTCCAGAATGGCCTGCCTCTTCAACCATGCAACCCTACCAATCCAGCTCTCCTGCTCCCATACTCGTCAGTCCCCTTTCACTGCTGGGCATCAAGAACTATGACTCCAACACAGAGATGACATCCTCTATCATGTCAACTTCTTCCTCTCCTTACATGGCTGTGGATGCCAGGGACAACACTTCATCATCTGCAGATAAGGGCCAGTTCTCTGAATATATATAGGGGATGGCTCAGGCCCTTGGACTAAGTACATGGCTGCAACCAGGGTGAGAGTTGGTTCCAGCCGTCCAGACTGTGCCAGCTATGAGGGGGTGGGGTCAGGAGTACCTCCCTGTTCGAAGTCCTAGCGCCAAGGTTGCTGGACCTTGGAACTGGAACTCTGAATAAGTCTGCAATCTCCCCAACAATTATGGCTGTGAAAGTTGGGCAATAAGGAAGGCTGAGTGCTGAAGAATTGAGGCCTTTGAATTGTGGTGCTGGAGAAGACTCCTGCGAGTCCCTTCGACTGCAAGGAGATCAAACCAGTCAGTCTTAGAGGAGATCAACCCTGACTGCTCTTTAGAAGGCCAGATCCTGAAGATGAAACTCAAATACTTTGGCCACCTAATGAGAAGGAAGGACTCCCTGGAGAAGAGCCTAATGTAGGGAACAATAGATGGCAAAAGAAGAAGGGGACGGCAGAGAATGAGGTGGCTAGATGGAGTCACTGAAGCAGTTGGTGTGAGCTTAAGTGGACTCCGAGGGATGGTGGAGTACGGGAAGTCCTGGAGGAATGCTGTCCATGGGGTCGCGAAGGGTCGGACACGAGTTCGCAACTAGCAACAACAATTTCAGGAAACCATAACATTGTGTTATTAGACTTTTTAAAGAAAAGAGGCTAAGCCCTGGCTCTCACAAATATCAGATACAGAGGTAACCTATTTCTGGGCTTTAAAGAGGTTTCTATAATTTAATTGTTATAACAACGAAAACAAAATCCCCTTCATGTAGAAAACAAACATCTAGTTATCTATGTGGTAGGAAATTTGGACAGAGCGCCGTTTGTTATGTAAGTTCCAACTAAGAGGTCAGAAACATATTTGCAACATTGTGTGCAACACTATTTGCGAAAACTAGACTTAGGGAGATGCTTGGTGATCGAATACGGAAGTTCATAGGGAACACCAGAAACCCATCCAAGATAGGAAGGCAGAGCATGGTTAACAAACAGGAGGCAATATTGTGCTGTGATAGCAAAGTTTCTATAAATAACTACAAGTTACAATTCTGATAACCCGCTACAGAATTACTGGCTAGAGTTACATACTTCTATGCATGTGTGAGTGTGTGCATGCCTGTGCAATTGGGATGAGTAGAATTCTTAGAAAGTGGCTAAGGGTCCCCTGCTTGTGTTTGTTTGCAGGCCACGAAGCTCCCCACAGTGGCCTGTCAGTTTCTCAGCACTTACTTGCAAACCTTCCCAGCACATTCTGAACCTTGCCCACCCAAGATCCCTGCACCAGTGCTTCACTCTTCCAAAAGAGGTAAAGATGATCCTAAACCAGAGGGCACATGAGCAACTGTTTGAACTTGTGATTCTGTGTGCAGCTCCATTGTGCATCTCTCAATGCTGCAATAGGGGCACAATCTTCTAGACTGCATTTGGAAGAAAGTTCAACACGCTGCTCAACTATCTTAAAACAACTAGCATTATCATGCCTCACTGCTTAATGCAAATACAGCCCACTAAAAATAATAATGAATTGGTTGGTTTTGGCTCCATACTATCTGATAAGATGGTCCAGTAAACTAGAAAGGGATGATTCATTAGCATTCCATTCTCTGTTGTTTAGATAATGTGAAAATAAGGAGGTTGTTTTTAGCTGGTTCAGACTCTGATATATAGATGCAGGGAGAAGGAAGGGACACATGAAAAAAGCAAGAATAGTACCTTTAATGCATTTGCCTCATAATCTCATTTTGCCAGTAGTTTTAAAATTGTCATAGTTGCTAGTTACCAAAATGAAGAGTTTTATATAAATCTGTTGAGAAGTTTTCTGAGTGCCAGATAATTTTGCTACATCTTTTTACAACCTTTGTCTATAGCCTTTTCCCAGCTGAATTAGTGGACAAATAGTCAAGATGCAAAACAGTGGATGATGCCAGATGCCAGCACCTGTTTGCATCAATGGGTACATCCTCCCTGTTCAGGAACAGATGGCCCATGAGATGTAGATGTAGATGTGTATCCAGATGCAAATTGGCAGCATGTGTGGAAAGCTGCTTGGGCATGCAGCCCTCTTACCTCTCAACAGGCTTTTATTATGCCATTTTACTGAATGTTAGAGTGGTCCAGACAATGCTGTCTTCTGTGCATAATCCCCACCACCACTATTTTCCACCGCTTCTTCCACAGTTTTTCTTAACAAAGATAATCCATTAAAGAAGATAAGTTAGAACAGTTATACAATGCCTTCTAGCTGGTAACCACACTTGGAGGCCTTTTTCTGCAATTACCATAACGTTTTCTCTCATTCAGCTTTGTCTTGTCCAGGAATTGTTTCCTACCTACCTTTGCTACCCTTGATCCTCTGATATCCTAGCAACATGACCCAAGAGAACATGCTATCGTAGAAATGAGCACTGTTCACTCTGGCCCTCTCAAAGTAATAATGTACAAATGTTACAAGCAAACATTCTCATCTGCCGCCTCTGGCATTGTTTCTGCATCCACGAGGACAGGGCCTCCTGTGCTAACCCCTTACTCTCACCTTGTTTGCGGTGTAAGCTTATGACAGATCTGTTAGAGCTAAGACTGGATAGAATATGGGAAATTTGAGTCTTACTAATATAATCACTACTCTTATTTCCAGAGATCCTTGGGAACAGTAATTCAGGGAGGGGGAATCTCTAAGAGTGGACACTTGATACCCTCACCAAATTTTAATTCATAGAGATCCTTGGGGAGCCCTAGCACTGCAAGGTACAGTTCTCCCATCTTTTCCTTCATATTGGCATTTTCTAGGAAAGAGAAAAGATGAAAGAAGCTGTAGAAAAACACAGTAGGGGTTCAAGTGGAAAAAGTTGTTGATTAAGTTCAGACAACACAATTACCTGCAAGGGTTGAGTATGATTTGAGTATGAGTTATTGTTGAACTCTGGGTTGCTGTTGAAACATGGGTTAGTGTGTTGTCTGTACCTGGCAAAGATAACAAAACATGGTGAACAAACCACAGTTCACAACCCAGCAAAAAACATGGGTTTTCCTGACAGGTGTTTTGTGGTTAACAAGCCATAGCTTGTTAGTGCAGCTGGGTTCAGACAACATGATAATTCACATTTTAGGAACCCACAGTCGAAGAACAGCCTACAGTTAGCCCATGCTCAGCCCTGGGGTGTACTCATGTGTTCTCAACTCAGTTATTCTCTCCCCCCACCCCATAAAAATCTGTGGAACAGGCTTTGTGATTGCACAATAAAAGCCTCACCTTGAAGCACCCTACAATTATTTAGGGGAAGTTGTGGCTATTAAATTGATATGCAGAGTGTAGTAGTATAGATAAGCACAGTTGCTTGCTTATGCATAAGGAGTACTGGGGGAGACCAGCTAAGCAGTAACGTTTCAAAGAGATGTGACATTAAGGAGGAGTGCTTGAGTACTTCAGTAAGACTGAGCCATCCCCTTTGCTTTCACGGGTTGTTTATTACAGTATGTGAGCATAATAATGTGTTTGAAGGTTCTGTCTTCAATCTGCTGTATGAAAATCTATTTTAATAAATCTGTTCTAAAGTTTACTGGTTTCTTTGCCCCATGTAGCCTGAAACACAGGTTTCGAGGGCTGCAATGAGAGCCGTATTAACTCCAAGGACAGAACATCTTGCCCAGCCTATATTGAAGAAGGAGACCTTGTGCTATGACAACAGAATCAAGGAGGCCCCGATCCGACAAGTAATTCAGTAACTTTGGTACTTCCAGTGTTGGACAGATGTTTAAATATCTGTATTATCCAGGGTGTATTTTCATCACTATCACTACCCCTGTTTCTACCAATTATATATGAAATAGGGCAGGCATCAGCTGTTGCTGGCCTTGCTGAGCTGCTTTATGGAAAACTGGCAATACATACATTGGTAGGGAATGGGGGAGGGGAAGCAGGGGAACCAAGGAGGATGAGCCATTTCATGTGTGCTGATTCAGGTCTTCCATCATCTACAGTCCAGAAAATCAGGGTCTGTGATCCTGGAATGGTCCTTTGTCTGTCCAAGTCCTAACTCAGCATGCTGGCTGGGAATTATGAGAGTTGCAGTCCAGGATGCCTAGAGGGTACCAGTTTAGGGGAGGCTGGTCTAACTACACATGATACTAATTGTGTTTCTTGTGCTCACATGGTAATGTTTTCTTTATTACAAGCATGAATGTGGGCAAATCTTTCTCAGAACCATAGCAGTTAGGGAGATATAGCTGCTCCGTGATCACAACAAAATGCCCCCACCCCCTGTGCTTGCGGGAGAAAACAACCTCCCATTTGCACCCTTGGAGATAAGGAACCCGGGGACACTTCCCTTGTAATATTTGTTATGCTCTTCAGCTTAATGCTGCCATCTGAAATTGCTCTCTAGAGGAAAGCCCACTGCCTTCATTTCACACCTGTTTGTGCTTAAGATGTACCACTTGCAGGGTTAGAATCTGGAGCTTTTGGTGAATGCAGGGAATTACTTACAATGTGGTAACTTGCTGTGGTGTTTATAGAGATGATAATCACCTTACACATGTGACAACAATAATTTTGCCATACTTTTCCAGCCATTCCTTTCCTTTTCCTTCCTTTTTTACCTCTGTCTAAGATCATCACAACCATTCAGCTAGTGGCAGAAAGAGGCACTTTTATCCAACCTGCATTGCTGTATTCATAGGGCAGCTCATCCAGATCACTGCCACCAGCACAAAACCTTTTATGCTGGTGACTGAGGGAGCAGCAACAAAACAGACCCAGTCTGTTGATGGAAGGATTGATTATGCCGCTTAGATCTGTGAGCATCTGCTTGATTATGCTGCTTAGTTCTGTGAGGATCTGCTTAGGCCACCTTGTTTTCAAGACTGCTCATTAGCAGAAGGAGTGCAGGAGTAAAGATGGCCTAATTCCTTGGGTCCTTCTAGCCTCCTAGCTTTGTTGGGGAAACACTGGATTTAATGTAATGTCTTCTGTTCCAAAACCAATGCTCCTGCTTCGTCCTGCAGGTGAGCCTGGCTGCCCAGCAAGCGTTGGCAAGTCCAAGGATCGCAGAGCTTGCCAGAGGAAAAATGCTTCCTGGTGACAGTTGTCCTGACCGTTCCGCTGAGTGGCCTGTGTCCAAGGCAGCAAAGCACGCAGTAGCTACCCCTAGACTTGAGGAACTTGCTAAGCCTCTCAAAAGGTGGGGTTCCCTAGGGTGACTCAGGGTATGTTCTTGCAGTCACGGTCTGACTCATCCTTAACTTGGGGATCAGGAATGAGAACTGTAGGTGTTGTCCTCTGAAGTACTTAAGTTATCTGGGCAAGTTTGTACTGGAAGTACCTTTCTGGAAAGGTTTCACTTCCCTCCAGAAAAAGCAGTCTCAAAGCAACTTATAAACAGAAATTCAGAAATATACAGTGATTTACAGAAGTATTCACACACAGCTCCTTTGATTGTTTCACATTTTTTTTTTGTATTATAACATGGAATTAAATTTGATTTACTGATGTTGTTAATATTTGATATATACAAAACACTTTGTGAAGGTACAAAATATTTTTACAGTAGCACAGAGGTTAAGTATATGAAAACAAACTACTTGTTGGACTTGTTGGAGGATCTTTCCAGGTCCTACAGAGTTGCCATTGGTCTCTTGGTTGACTAATGTCCTCCTCACCTAGTCACTGTGTTTTGGGAGGTACACGTCTTTAGACAATGGATTTTGTAATGATGGATTTAATTATGCTTCATGGGATGTTCCCTTGATAACCAACCCTGACTGGTCCTTCTGCAGAACTTTCTCTCAGAGTTGTTTAAACAGCACCCTAGTCTTCATGATGCTGTTTGTTTAGTTATGCTCTCTAACAAATTCTGGAACTTTCCAGAACAAGCATATGTAATCTGAGATCATGTGGCAGTGAAATTGCATCCAGGTAGACTCCATTCAACTACGGTATGTAACTTTTGGAGGCAAAGGGCTTCGGCTTCGGCTGATTCATCAGCTGCGCCCCTACCTGGAGTACGACTGCCTTGCAACAGTGACTCATGCGCTGGTGACTTCCCGTCTTGACTTCTGTAACGCGCTCTACGTGGGGCTACCCTTGAAGACGGTCCGGATACTTCAATTGGTTCAGAATAGAGCTGCCAGGCTGCTGACGGGGACTGGACGTTATGTTCACATGACGCCAGTTCTCCGTCAGCTTCACTGGCTCCCCATTGAAGTCCGGGCCCAATTCAAGGTGTTGGTAATGACCTATAAAGCCCTAAACGGCTTGGGTCCTGGTTACCTGAAGGAGCGCTTACATCCATATTTGCCCAGTCGCCCCCTGAGATCGGCGGGAGAGGCCCTTCTCCGGGAGCCCTCCGTGAGAGAAATTAGGAGGGTGGTTACTCGGAGAAGGGCTTTCTCAGCGGTGGCGCCTAAGTTATGGAATGCGCTCCCCAGAGAGGTCCGCCTGGCGCCGTCGTTATTTGTTTTTCGGCGCCAGGCTAAGACCTTTTTATTTAAGCAACATTTTAAATGCTAAATACAATTGAATTTTATCTGGCCAGGGCGGCTTATTTTATAATGTGAGTTTTAATCAAGATTATTTTATATGGATTTTAACTTGTTTTATCTATGTTGTAAGCCGCCCCGAGGCTTCGGCGAATGGGGCGGCATAAAAATGTTTTAATAAATAAATAAATAAATAAATAAATAAAGGGTTGCACCAGAGGTTAAGCATGTCACAGCAAAGGAGGTGATCATTAAATCCACAACAAAATTTGGAAAAGTCAAAGGGGTGTGTGTGAATACCTCTGTAAGGCACTATGTAATTAACAAATCAAGATAAACTGAGATTCAGTATAAACCATAATCAGTTCAAGGATACAAACAAAAGTCAACATATAAGCATGATTTTAAAAGATGACGCAGAACACATTCATCCAAAATACTCATACTCTGTCACCCACTCACAGCCTAGAGCAAACAACTCAAAAAGTAGCCCACACCTGTCATGCTGTAAACAATGTCTAAATGCCTTGGAAAATAAGTGTGTCCCTGCGTGGCCAGGAAAAAATGACAAATGTCAGAGCCAGGCAAGTTCCCTTGGGGAGAGCACTCCATAAATGTTGTAAGCCATCCTGAGTCTATGCAAAGGACGGGTTATAAATGTTTTGAATGAATGAATGAATGTTCGGCTCTCACATAAAAACCTCATTCCCAAACTACCATCTTTCAGGTTTTGAAGGAAACATAGTGAAACTTGAAGCAGGTTTCATAAAAAGACCCTTCTGGCTTAATTATTTTGTGACCACTCAACAAGAGGGTGTGGTATAAAATGTCAGAATAGCAAACAAACAATGAGGCTCTGGATCCACCGTGAATGCAGGAAGTGCTAAGTTAATATATAAGAAAGACAGCTAGAAAAGCTATCAATGAGTAATTTCAAAATATATTTCAAGCCAGACTTCTTGGCTTCCACCCTCCTAAATAGCTGTGATGTCAAATGGATACCAAGAGTGGCAGTTTGGAATGCTGGGAGATGAAAATTCATAAGGGCAATTTCTGTATTAATAGCTCTGTTAGATTTTCTTCTCAGGAATTTTTATTTTCTAGCCACTCTTGGAATCCATTGAACATCATGGCTACTGATGGGGATGGAAACTAAAACAATTAGCCCTGAATATATTTTGAAATTACTCTGTTGTCTGACTTTCTTTCCTCTTTCTCGCTCGCTCTATGGATCTTTGGGTAGGTAGGTAACCAAAGACATACATATATGTCTCGTACCTTGCATTCTGCAAATCTAAGTATGTTCTTGGCTCTCACTGCAAATTCTCTTTTCCCAGTCTAAAGCTGGTTCAGCTGTGCGCAAGGGAAACTCTCTCCTTTCCTCTGTTGCATATGTGGTGTGTCACATATGTTCCTGGCCTCCATTGCAGATCTTCCCACCATCTCCCCCCCCCCAGCTGTAAAAGAAACCCCAGCTGCCCTTTACTGCATTTGTCCTCTGGATGCCCCAGCATCAGGAGTTAGACTATAGAGAAGATCTTTTCAGTGGTGGTGCCCCATTTATGGAATTCTCTTTCCTGGCAAACTTGTTTGGGACCTCCTTTATTATCTTTTGAGTGTTTTGCTATTTTTCCCATTGCCAGATTATTGTTTTATTCGTGTTATTTTTTCTGTTCTTCTATGGCTTTCATTTTTGTTACTATATTGTTCTATTTGTTTTGTCATCCTGACAGGCAGCATAGACATTTGAAAAATAAATTCACTTACTAGCTTAAGACTGGAGTGAAGGCTGTCTATGTTGACTCGAAATCCAGAAAACTAGGAAATTGGAAGCTGAGGCTGATGCTTTCACCAATGAGACTAATGATGCTGCTGTGTACTATCAGAAATGGTGCTTGCTTAAAATGAACTCGCTGCACATAGTCTTTTCCATCATATTTCAGGCCCAAATCGAGAGTGCCTGGGTCCAGCAAAAATGGCCCACATTGTCCTGCCTTGTGAAGCATCTCCATCTTACTGTTTTGCTAGAGGAAATCTGCTGCACACTGACCCCTCCCAGTTTGTTGCTTATGTATGTAGCTGGATGGGTGGGATAAACTGCGAGATGCAGCTCTCTTGTAGCGATAAGGCCAGTTATAAGGTAATACAAGACCTGGACAATATGGGGCATCTGTTGACCAAGGAAAGGTGCGGGTGCTTGGGGGATATGCAATTTGTCACAGGTACAATTTGTGACATGGCACAGCATCACTGATCATAGAGCATGTGAGCTAAGGCATCACCTAGGCTTCCAATCTCCTGGCTTTTCCCTGAACTGACATGAGATAGTCTTAAATCCTGTCTTAAACAAGCAGGTTCTGTGATCAATGAATCTCCCCGGGTTTGTTTTGCTTTGGATAGGATGTATATGCTTACAGAATTGGCACACCTACTTTTTCTTCACTGTATTTGAAACTACTTTCTTACAAATTCACCTCTTTGATAAAGATAATTAAAATCTCGGGGAGAATTCTACAGAGGATTCTGTACAAGGGCTCTCCCAAGCCCTTCATCATATGTAGAATGTGATGAGAATGGCAAGGGAGGGTGAGATGTTCGTGAAGTCATCCCTGCTTCCCTTCTCAATTGCTATAGCTTACACATAATGAGAGTGACTGAATAGGGCTAGGTTTTCACAACCACCTTAACAAAGAATAGGAATGCACCTTCAGCATAACATGTCTATATATCTAGTGTGAGACTTGATCCTTGCATGTTCTTTTCCCACCACATGTAAAGAAAGAGCAAGGTGCTCCGGTTCCCTTTTCAGAATGGTGGCATGAGGCCCTGATTGTTCTGCTCCCTTGCCTGTGCATTCCTTCCATCCATCCCTCTCCCACATTCTTTCAGGGAATGTGTGTTACTTTAAGATGTAGCTAGGTAGCCCTCCATGTTTTTCTTTCAAAAGTAAGCTTGTGGGACCTCACATGGATCAGTAGAGTGGGTAGGACGGTGTAACCCTTCACCCTATGTCTTCAGTTGACATTACAGCTAGAAGCCTTTTTAACCATGTAAATTGGAGGCATGGGGGTCCTAATCCAGATATATGAGAACTGAGCAAGATTTGAAAGAAATATATGGTATGCTGAGTAGAAGTAACAGAAAAATGTATCTGTGTTCAGCACTTATTAACGTGCTGAGGCTGCGACAAGTTGTACTGGATGGGTTTGACACTTGCACATCAAATAGATCTCAGCACTATTAAAGGATGATTTAATAAGACCCCAGACAATGACTGGGTATGCTTCTGGGTGCTGGAGCAGTAGAAACATGATCTCTTACATTGTTGCTTTTATGGGGAATGCAGAGAGAAATTGATTAGTCCATTAATAAAATATTTTAATGAGAATAATTCTTCCACTCTGGTATCTATGCGTTTAAGTGATGTATCTTCTTAGTCACCAGAAACGTTGTCAAATTTTTAAGGACTGTAATTGTACTTGTTTTAACTGTGTTTTAATTTTTCTACTGCTATTTTACCTGTTTTTCAAATCTTCCTGGTCTGTGACCATAAAATAAAAACAAACTAAAATCAAATAGATTGTGGGTGCCAAGTTTCACAGTATTAGGTCACACTCTTAGAAGCAATAGAAGTTTGATGCTTACAATAGTGGAAGATTTTTTGTGACT